TATCAAAGTCCAGCAGTCAGAGCCAGTCCTTCATGGCAGCTTTAAACCTGATTGTCGGCTGTGAAGAAGTATCTCCAGCTCTTAGCACAGGCAGTCCAATAAGTCAGGTCCTTTGAACTTCAGCCATCAGATCTCATCAGCCACTAGTAATGTCTGTGACTGCTTCTTTTCTATGCTTTGCAATTACTGCTGTTTAGTGGGACAAATTCAAAAAACAACTCAATAGCATGCATGGAATAATTTGGAATATGGACACCCCAAAATCTGATTCTTCATGTTGGGGTTTAAATTCAGAGCATGCATGTCTTTAACCCATTCAAAACATTCAGCTCTATTCCAATTAGTTCACTTAATGACTACACAAATAAAAAGTTACTATACTCTGTGGAACCATTGTCTTCCATGCTGTGCTGCTGGCAGAGATTAGCAAATGATTAATTATTTGTCCTGAATTAGACAATTTAGATTGAAAGATTGGCAGAGCCTTATACTTTCTAAGCTGAGCTGTACTTGTCCTGAATACTTACATGCCAAAAAATGGTGCAGTTTGCCAACCCCAGCAATCCTGAGAAGACCACCTAGGAACAAGCAATAAGATCATAAAAAAATAGCAGTCTAATATTTATTTACTGAGTCACTGTGATAAATCATTCACTTTTACTCATGCATATGTTAATTTCAGCTTGAGATATTGAGTTCTGTAAACAATAGGCATTTACAACAAACAAAGGTAACAACAGACACCTTGTGATGCCAACAGAGATACACATGTAAAATAAGAGTAGCATTCTCCCTGCTGGCTCAAAAGGAGAATAAAGAATATTAATATACAATAGCTCATATTTACTTGACTGGAAACATTAATTTATGTTTAAATTGGATAAAAAGTATGTTCAATACTGCTATAATTTCCCTTTTAAGAAACAGAACATTAGTGCTCACATTTCATGTAGGTATAGCAAATTGTATTGGTTAGTATGGTAACTTATTAAATAAATAACTGGCACTTCTAGGAAGCTCATAATAAAGTAACAATAAAAAAGGCAATACATCCTCATTCCTCAATGCTGCTGTTTGTATTTCTATTTCTATCTAATAAACATATATTGAAGAAGAAAAACACCCCCTCTTCAATTTTTATAACCTCCTTTCATGTTAAGGAATATACGCAGGTAATGGAAATATTACTAGATGAGCTGCTTTCTCGTACTGTAAACTGACCACTGGGTTTTAAAAAAATCAATGTACGCAATTTAAGTGTAAGCGATCAGATAATGGAATGTATGCTGCAAATTGCTGCTTTTATGGAGGAAGTATCTGTCAATTGTGATATTATTTTCCAAGGGTAAAACACGCTAGAGAACAAACCTGTGTGTGTCTGTGGAACACTTCTTGTAAAGACACTTTTTATTCACTTTGCTATGAAAGTAATAACTCTTATAATTTGTAAGTGTCACTCTGGCAATGTCAGTTATGTCCTCAAGGTAATACAGCATTCATGGTGAAAAGGTCAAGGCTACCAGTGACAATAGGGCTCTTTTTTTGTATTTAATATTAACTCCAGACAAATATATAAAAAATGTAAACTTCAGTCAGGAATTGATTTTTTTTTTTTTGTGATGGGGTGGGAAAGATTTAGAGCCTCTATCAAATTTTTAGTGTTAAATGCGTTCCTAGTGGGTAGATTTCTCCTCAATTTTTGTCTGGACAGGAAGTGATGGGGAAGCTCCCCATTGAAAACGTTCAAAGAAGACACAGACAAAAACCAAAACACATTTTAGTAGAGCTGGGAAGGGTTAGAATGTCTGACAATTTTTTTGTTGCTGTCTGTTCCTTTATGTCATATTAAAAACTGCTCTACCAATTCCTTGTACAGGTGTTGCTGGAAAAGAAAGTAAAATCTCCCCAACTGGACAGGAATAAAAACCAAACAGAAATGTCACCTCTCCAAAACCGGAGTTAGGCCTTAAGGTATCCTTAGACATTAGATGATCCTCATCTGGCAGTATTCTGATCATCTAACACCCTGGTGCCCTTTCTGTGCAGCCCTCGGGCTCTGTAGACAGTGGTCGGCTTTGCTATCTGCTCAAGCCAGTGAAAGAAAAATATTAATTAGAGTGGGTTCTAGTAGTTGTGTTTATTAATTTCACATTATGTTACTTGTATGTGCTGTCCATTTACTTTTTTTTAATGTTTGCTGAGAAATATCAAATGAGGCACAAGTGATTATTAAGAGGCCTGTAGGAGGTACGCATGTGGAAGTGTTGAAGGGGCTATAATAGCAGTGATCCCTAGCAATCTCAAGCAATGTCACCAATCTCCAATGACTCCTACAGCATGTTTGCAGTCTCTGACTATCTCCTGTTGCATGTCTTTAGTTCTTGATAGCTTTTTGTAGCATTACATTTACTAAATATCATGTGTGGCCCTCTTTGACATAAGAGGCTCAACCAAACTTGAGGCCTCCTATGCCAAGTAAGTTAACCACCGCTAATCCTACATCTATGTTACATCAGCAGACATTTCTGGACACATTTTTTTGAAGGGAAGAGATAATGCAATCAGACTGTTAAAAAAAACTTTGTCTTCTTACCATTGCTGTCTCTCTGATAATCCAGCACTGGAGGTGAATATAGCATTCCTTACCCACCTCCTTTCATAAGCTGAAAACAAGTCTTTAAAAGTGTTCAGGTAGGCTTACATGAGGACAGAAAACACAAATAATCTCACCAGTGGAGTTTAGTCCAATGCGTAGAGACATAGAAAGATTTAGGGCTATGGAGAATGTGGTTACCCTCTCGCTACAGGCAGGGTTGTGTGTCCTTGTATGTTCAACAAACAAGCAGAAATAATAAGCAGTATTAGGTGCATGAAATACTCTGGCTCCAATTATGACTCTGAACTACATGCAGCCACTCACAACCTGTCAGAAGTCTGGCATGTTGATTGACACTGTGGTTTTACATCCAGAATAATTCTCTGTGCCAGGAAATGGGCCATTTTGCAGTAAGTGGAGATTTACCTATGTTTTCCAACCTGCTGCTTGTCTTATATTTAATCAAATATAATCTTGTTTATTTCTCTTTAATATCTTTAACAGAAAAATTGTGTTCCCCCTTTCCCAGAAGATAACAGCTTGGCACACCAGGTATACATCTATTATTCCACTGATTGGCCCCCTACCATGTTCATAGCAGTAATGAAGGAAATATGACATCTATTGCAGGTAAACTACATGCTTGTATCGCTCCAGCCATTAAGATACCATTCTATGTGCCATTTTTATCCATTATTAGGCAGACTAGTAAGAAGGAAAATAAGTAACCAGCAACTTATTAACTGCTAAAAACAATGACCACTACTCCATACTCATACTTTTAGACCTTACTGCTCTTTCATGGTTTTCCTCCTACCTATCTCAGCGCACCTTCAGTGCCATCTACAACTCTATAAACTCCTCTGCTCTTCCTCTTTCCATAGGGTTCCCCCAAGGCTTTGTCCTTGGACCATTTCTATTTTCCATTTACACCTCCTCCCTGGGTCAGTTGATAACTTCCCAGAACGTCTAATACCATCTCTATGCCGACAACACCCTATATATTGGGAGAGTATATCTCTCTACTACTCAGCTTACCACTTCTATCTCCTCATGCATTATTAATTTACTTACTGACTTATCAACATGGATTCATAATATTTCCTCCCCCCTGTGTCCCCCTCCCCCAATCTCTCCATTACAATCAACATCACAACAATCAATCCCTCTCTTCAGGTCAGGATGCTAGGCGTTATATTGGATTCTGACCTGTTCTTTCAGCCCTATATTCAATCACTGTTCACATTTTGCCTCCTTAACCCCCAAAATACGCCCCTTTTTAACAAATGACACCACAACACTTCTATTTCAATGCATGTTTATCTCTCTCCTCAATTATTGCAACTCCCTCTTTATTGGCCAACCTTAACACAGTCTTTCAGTGCATGCTGCTGCCAGACTTATCCACCTTACCAACCGCTCGCTGTCCGTCACCTCTCTGTATCAATCACTCCAAATCAAAGCCTCCTGGTCTCCCAACAAATAAAATTCAAAATACTAACAACACACAAAGCCATCTACAACTCCGCCCCTGGCTATATCACCAACCTCACCTCAAAATATCACCCAAACAGTCCTCTCCGCTCAAGACCTCCTGCTCTCTAGCCCTCTTGAAACCTCCTCCCGTGCTCACCTTCAGGAATTCTCCAGAGCCTCTCCCTTCCTCTGGAACACCATACCTCATTCTGTCTGGCCATCTCCTGCTCTGTCCACCTTTATGCAATTCCTGAAAACTGTTTTATTCAGGGAGGCCTATCCCACATCTTCATAAAAACTGTACCTTTACTCTCACCATCAGCTCATCCCTCGGAATGAATGCCTTTTGTATCACTTGATCCTCCCTTTAGATTGTAAGCTTTGCGAAGCACAGCCCTCCAAACCCTCCTGTTTTGAATTGTATTATAGCTCAACTGTCTCTTTTTATTTTGTTAAGTGCTGTGCAAACTATTGGCACTATATTATTCTTTTATAATGATAATAATAATATAGAAGACAATGTGCATGTGTACTATAAAATATGAATAAAACAAGTTCATTTATTTGCTGTGTCTACTCAGGCATAACCATAATGTGCTCTTGTGTGTAGAAATACCTTAGTTTAATCGGCAGCATCTTAATAACATCCTATGATTGTTTTCAGTAACACCTGTTTAAATCAGCACTGTGTATGGCCTTATTAAAACAAATTAACAAGCTTGCAAGCGTATTTTGAACGGTCTACAATACCACATTTGTTTATCTTAATATTCACTTTTAGTCCTGTTGTACATGTTGTGCATCATCAGTTTTCTCTTTAACTTAAAAGTCATCACATCTGTCATGTTAGCAGTCCTCCTCCCCCTCCTTCCATCTGGTCCTCCAGTCCCTGCCTCCCCTGAGCATCAGTGCTTGTTTTATGCGTGTGTGTGTGCTATACTGGCTGATGGACTCTTCCATTTCTCGTATCACGGCGCTAGCTGGATATACTATTACACTGGGATGATCGGCTTGCTTCTCAAGAGCTTGTACACTTAATCTTATGCTTGTGATTGCCTGGGGCACAGACGCCTCTAAAGGACCGCTTTCCATGGCACCTGAAGAATAAAAAGGTGGAATCCCCAGATCCGTGGAATTCGGTATTCCTTAGAACTGGTAGGAATCACAGTTTCTATCTCTCTGTTTTATTTACCCATATATCTCTCTTTCAGGTATAATAAGACATTTGCTCAGGATGATCTTTCATCACTGAACCTTTAGTTAGTTTAGAGTGATTTGTGTTGCCAGTAAATAATGCACCCTATTATTAATATAAGTACTTAGGAAGGGAGTATTCTGCGTGATATATTCACCCAGGATTCAAAGATAAGTGTTTTAAGTCTAGGAAGTATAGCTTTTCTATATTTAGCCTTAGTGTTTTGTTAAGCTTTGAACCCATCTGCTGTGTTAATAACATTCACTAAGAAGGGCAAAACATTTCTACTCAAAATAAAAAAAACGTTTACCCCCAGTCAATGAAAACAATGTGTTAATAGGGGCATCTTAGTTTCTACATTTAGTATTTTTCTTTTAATTAGGTCAGTAGTATGGAATATTAATAATTTTGAATTCAGTGCGTGGGATGGATGAAGTGGAGCTGAGAGATTCAGGATTCATTTGTCAGGAGTGAGGGAGGAGGGGAGTGTGAAAGACACCTCATTAGAGATGTCCCTAAATTATTACTTTACCAAGGATGCTGCAGGGTTCCTGTACTGATAATTGTATGTCTTGTGTGTATTGTATGTAAATGCATCAGGTTCCTTTTGCTCTATCTTTGAAAAACACAAAATTAAATTATATAATTAACATCAATAGCATTCAGAATCAACCTTGCTCCTTCTTGTGGAGCGACCCCCTCCTCTAGTACCAGTTATCTACATTATAGACGACACAAAGTACGGGAAGGATATTGTGTTTAACTAGAGAATAGACCGCAGGTTAGATCTTCAAGGCATTGAAGTATAATATTCATTTATTACCTTGCATTTGCTAGTGTTAACACTGCTGCGAGTCGCTAATTGGATACAGAAATGTAATCTGGGTGTGTTTGTGCTGACTAGACCTATGAAAACGCCTTCTTCTGTCTTTATGAATGGGCGTTTAACCCCTCTGCAGACAGTCTGGGTACAAACTCTCCCTGTCTTATATGACCATAGTCAAGTGAATCACAGACTTCTGGTTTCCCTGTTAGCATGAGTGATTCTGACCTACGGGTAGAGGCTCTTGCTAATAGTCCAATTAAAAGTATACAGATTCTGCATTGATCTCCCCTGTCCTGTTCTTACAATGATGAATTGCATTCATTATTTTCTCGTAGATTAAAATAACCGTTGTGTACACTAAACAGCGATCAGCCTGATGTTAAGTGACCATGTTACCTGGGCATCTTTAAAAAGGGAACTTATATTTGAAAGGCTTTGCCCAAACAACTTACTGTACTGGGATAAATATGCAGTCCATCATTGCTAATATCTGCTGCTACAAATGCTAATGCCTGGCTGTCTTGAAGCTGATTCTCTGAATCCAAAACTTTAAGTGTCCAAATTTAGTTGTTCTGACTTTACTCACTGCTTGCTCGTTCTGGGGCAATCAGCCATACATATTCAGGCAACTAGTTTATTTTAATGGAATTAAGCAATTGTGTACAGCATATTTCCTCTGGCATTGGGTGAAAACTGGTGGATTAAATCTCCCACATGTTTTAACATTTTTTGGCAACCCCAAAAGCTGGTAAAATAATAAAGGTAACTAAAGAATCTAGAGGCAGGATTGATCCACACTGCAATATCTGTAGAACGTGGGAGGAGCTTAGTCTGTGCTATCTGAGGCCTTGAGAGGAAGCCTTTTGGTGATTCTTCCCACTTACGGTCATCCTTTTATTGATGTATTGGCTTTGCATGACACATATCTTTAACAACTTGAGTACCAGCCTGTATATACCCCTTCACTACCAGGCCATTTTTCAATTTTCAGTCCTGTGATAGTTTGACTGACAATTACTCAGGCATGTAACACTGTACCCAAATTAATTTTACAAAACATTTTATATTTTATAACCACTTGTTTTTTTTTTTTACTATATAAAGAAAGAAAGACCAAAAAAAGTTTAAAAAACCTTTCCTCACATTCTGCTTTAAAATATATCAAATAGAAATGTTGGGGCAGTACAAAAACCCTCACATTTCTTTGAAAGTAAGATAAGATAATTTTTTCCCCCAAACATTTTTAGGAATAAAAAAACATGTTGGTATTGAGGTAGTTAAAACACGGAGCTTAGTAATTTGACAGTAGATGCAGGGCATAATTACATGTACATGTCATACACAGAGGAAGGAGTAGGTGAAGGGGTTAATGAACAGGTCATATATGGTGCAGGGGATAGAGATGAGGGGTTAATGTGCAGGATAAAAGAGATGGAGTTAATATACAGGTCAGATAGACAAGATGGATATGAGATGTACAGGAGAGGAGGGGGGATAAAGGGTTAGAAAACAATCGCACAATCAAATGAAACCCCTCACCATGAATCTGCTGCTGCTGATCTCCTCATTCATTCCCGGAATTAATAACCCCACATTTTCCCCTTCCTCCATTGTGAGAGGAAGAGGTGGAGGCGCTGACATGTAAACACTAGTGTTTACATTTGTGACCACTATGGTTGGTCATCACAGTAATCACAAGGTACAGACCCACTCTGATTGGCCCTGTTCATGGTGCCTGTGTTCTGAGCCATCCGTACTGGCTGCGGCCTGCCCTGTGTGTTTTCCGAAATGCTCTTTATGAATGGCACTGCAAAAATACCCATCCACCACCCTGCCATCTTGATTAGGTACAGAGGTAGTGAAGTGGTTAAAGAGGAACTGAACTGTGGAAGCTGTGTTAAAAAATTATAATCAGGGGGCAGAAACTAGTCATCATTATTGCCTGTGAACCCTCTGTAGCTGATCTTTTCCTCATTACTGACTTGCCATACCTGGTTCTGCACTCTGTGGATAAGGTCATCTTGAAGCAAGGCTTCTGATTCTTCATGTCAGAGCTCTAACCCTGATGACTTGTGATGTGATGACTGGTGGGGAAATAATCAAGTAGCAGCAGGAGAGTGTCACGTACCTGAGTGGAGATCAATCGTTGAAGAGGCTTCCCTTGCAGCTTGTGTCCCTCAACTCTGAGGATGGGAACAGAGAAGGAGTGACAACAAGCAACACGAGTGCCAAGGTTGATGTAGACACCGTGCAGAGTAGAAAGTCCAGGATCTGGAACTGAGGCAGGTCAAGCAGAGCCAAGGTCAAACCGGACAGGCAGCAGGGTACCGGAGCAGAAGAAAGGAGCAAGGCCCAATGGAAGCCAAGGGGTCATAGCCAGACAAGCAGGGAAGTACAAAACAGGAGGCAGAAGGGAGTCCAATAAACAGGCCGAGGTCAGGAGGTAGACAGCAATCAAGAGTGGTCAGAGGCAATCCAGGTCAAACACAGGAAGCAAGTCCACAAGGTAGAGTCAGGGATACACAGGGAACTAGCTGAAGATCATCCAGCAACTAAGGATATGGCAGGTGCGTTTATAAAGGCCCAGGGCCGGTGCAAGGATTTTTGCCTACACAGGCGAAGAAGCATTATATGCGAAGCCACAAGCAATGACACTCCAAATAGTTTACTGTGGAGCACCCCAATACAAAGACACCCCTCTAAAGTGTACCACTCCAGAAAGCATAGCGGAGATGTCCATGTTAAAGCTCACACTAAACATATCCATCATTTGGGAAAAGAAAGACCATCATCTTCTGAAGCCACAGGCACTGACACCCTACCTCTATTACCATGAAGCACCCCAATACAAGGACACCCCCCCCCCCATAGATCTTCACTAAAGATAGCATAACTAACAGCACTGACCGCCAATGTAACGAAAGTATTCACCTTGACCGCCAATGTAACGAAAGTATTCACACTTACCGCCAATGTAAAGGAGTCATTCTTACTGACCGCCAATGTAACAAAGGTATTCACACTGACCGCCCTTGTAATGGAGGTATATACACGGACTGCGAATGTAACGAAAGTATTTACACTGACCGCCAATGTAACGAAAGTATTCACCCTGACCACAAATGTAACGAAAGTATTCACACTGACCGCCAATGTAACAAAAGCTTTCACAATGACCACCAATGTAACGAAAGCGTTCACAATGACCGCCAATGTATCAAAGATATACACCATACACAGGCCCAGATTCCCCACAAGGCCACCGAGGCCCAGCCTCGGGGGGTGGCACGGAGCGGAGGGGCGGCAGCAATGTTGAATCCCCCGATTTTGAAAATAACTTACCACCCGGCGCCCGGAACTGCATGTTGCGGGCGCCGGGCGGTAAGTTATTTTCTACATTTAGCCCTGCTTTGGGAAAGCAAGGCTAAATGTAGTGTGACGCTGCTTGTTCGTTTCCCCTATCCCCCCCTAGCTGTGCTAGAGCTCCGGTCCTGGAGGTGACAGGGTCAATAAAGAGAACCTGTCACCTCCAAATGCTATCACACAGGGGTTGTTAGCTCCTATGTGATAGCAATAAAGTTAAGTGAAAAAAATGTAATTAAAAAAATAATTAAATAAATATAAATAAACAAATTAGTACAAAATAATAAGAAATAATAAATAAAAAAATGAAAAGGTGATTAAAAAAGTAAAAAATAATAAGAAAAAAATGAGAAAATAATAAGAAAATAATTATAAAAAATAAACAGTAAGATACAAAATTATAAAAAATTAAAAAAGTAAACGATAAGATACATAAAAATAAAAAAAGTAAAAAAATTAAAAAGTGATAATAAAAGTAAGAAAAAAAAAACAAGAAAAAAAAATTAAAACTAACCCTGCCATCCCGTTGCCATTCTCCATTGATGAGGGGAAGGGGTTGGTGGGGAGAAGGGCGCATTGTGGAATCTGGCCTTGGGGCGGCAGGGAGAGTAAATCCGACCCTGACCAGACACATACTTAAACTTACCTTGTTCTTGCAGGGGAGCGGGGATTTGCATATGAATGAGCTGTGATATTTACATATGATATTGATATGCAAATTACCACAGCCCATTCATATGTTAATATCTCGGCTGGGACAGAACAGGAACA